GATGACCAGAGTAATAAGAATAATCAACAAGGAACTAAGGCTGGCAACTAACCAACCAAGAAACTATCCTTTAACACATATGCAGTAGAAGGAAGTGGAGGTGGATTGGATTGGGCAAACAGTGAGAAGGCCGACTGGGGAAATCACGTGCCAGGCCAGGTATTCGAGTATGACACAGATGGGAAACGACGAGTTGGGCATCCGAGGTGAGGTTGACATGAAGGAGATGATGTGACGAAGAAATAAAAGCTTGTGCGCGGTCTTGGAGCCTGGTTTGAATGACTGTAGAGAAGAGGGTCTAATGGAGGCAAGCTATTGAATCCATATTTTCCACTAGGAAAAATTAATAGATAATAATAATTTCTGAAATTTTGAAAAGTACTAGTGTCTTTATAACGAAAGACTAGAAAGTGAATAACCTATAAAATTCAGAGCTTCGAGCTGTTGGTTATTAAGAACCAACTGTAATTAAGATATCCGGTAAGTATCACGCAGAATGAATTCTGCCTCAGATGTGGATTGACAGAATTTGAAAATGTTACTCAACACCAGAAGAAGATAACAGTCACAAAAAAAGATTTGAATAGACAAGACATTGGTCAGTATAGACAACTCATAATAACGTTACAGATATGTAGTATAGATATTATGGAAAATGTCAACTACGGTCAAAGTTTAACATCATTTAGTATCAAAGTTTGTTAGAGTGTAAACCAGCAGAAAAAAGCAGCATGCTACAGAAATTAGTAAGATCATTTTGTGAGATAGAAAATATACGCAGATAACAATGTGTAATACTGTACACACAAGTGCATTCTTTTACAACAATATTGGTGATAAATAAGAATATAATATACAATAATTGTAATGGATTCGAATCAATAAACTAAGGTTGCAAATCAGAGAATGAAAAAAGATTGTAGTCAGCAACTATTCAGACAATTATAAAGCTAATGCCATTACAGCAAAAGTGATAAACAAAAGATATCCGTGCAAAGAGTTTATGATTCCCTTTACAAATAACCACAGATTTCAGTTTTCAAAAAAATGACTTAATAGATGTCATCTTGAACCGCCTATCTTCATCTCATATATGACATCAAATGAAATTTCTTCTTCATGCTACGTAACCCAACAGAAAGATATATACTTCAAAATACAATTGTTTTTAATAATTTTGACTCATTTTTTTGAGAACTGTAGGAATAAATGTTCATAAGCATATCCCTTCAGTTCCCTTCTAAAACAATCTAAGTACTAGTCAAAATATATGGTGAGGATCAACAGCTTCTCATTGGATGAAAGCTTTTTAAGGAGTATTGAAGCAGTTGAAGAAGTTTACTGCATCTATCTTGCGTGAGTATAGAAGGATTCATTATAAATTTTAAAAAGTGAAAATCACATAGATGAAGAATATTAAATAGATGGCTTTGCTGATTTCACTTTTCAAACATTTCATAGTTTTATTTCTATCTTTTGATATAAACAAAGACTATGTCAAGCTTATTGAAGATTTCGATTATTTTTGACTGTTGAAATGTAAACCTTCTCCATTTTCATCAATTGTCACATGATCCTTCCGATGGCTATGGATATTTTCATGACAACTGACTGCTAAATATAAATTTTCTTTATGTTAGTCGGTTAGAGGCAATTGGCAGGAAGCTTTGGACCTGGGCTTCGTGCCTTTTCGGACTTGTCAGCAAGAGGTATCTGCAACCTCGATGCAACTGATGTCTCGTCTGAGATTTGAACCCACGTCACACAATGTTGTAGTCAGAGACTTTACAACTGAACTATTTGGCCTCCTGTAGGACTAATTTATATGTATTGATTGGTGACGGGAGTGGAACCGATTTCATGTTGTCTAGCTATGAGTGCAGACTGAATCCTATTGATCATATTTGTAATGTGGCAGCGAAGTTAGGCAGTTTAGCATCGCGTTGCACAATAGTAGATGTTAGTTGGTTGGAGGCAACTGGCAGGAATCCCTGGACCAAGGTTTCGTGCCTTTTTGTTACTCATCAACAAGGAGTATCTGAAATCTCAACGGAACTGATGTCCAGTCTGAGATTGGAACCCATGTCACCCAATGTTGTAGTCACTGACTTAAAAATTTACTGACAGTTCTGATGATTTGCGGATGCGTAAAACCTGAAAAGAAAATATGTACACATTTATATCATTGCTAAGTTTTAAAGTGTGGAACAAGACTGAGATTATTCCACTCTGATTAGACTGTGAGCGTTAAATTCTGCTCTAAACTTCATCGAGTAAATGATACTAAATCAATGTGTTTTATAAAGTAGACTAATCTAATATGCAATTGTATTCCATCATGGTGCCGAGTTTCTGTACTTACATTGATGAAAAATATTAAAATCTTGTCTTTAGTTAAAACACCCATTCACCGGACACTTTTACAGAACTGTCCACACTTTAACTTGTTTTTTTTATACGTTAACTATTTCAATAAAATAAACTAAATAATTTTCTTCAAACTTCTTATTACTTCAGATGGTAGTTTTCTAGCAACTTTTCTCTAGACTTTGGTCACATAACAAGTCAGTTTTGTATACTCCCTGTATGTCCACTTGTTAGTGACTACTTGACATAAGTTATATATATATATATATATGGATGCTTGGATAATAATTCTGAGATTCTACCTTTCATGTTCGCTGATTTTGCCTGTAAGGGAAAAAGGCGGTGATATAACAGAAGGCGTGTTTACAGTGTCAACGGCGTCAATAATATATACGAGTTATAAGGTTTATATATATAAATATATTGTGGTGGCCTTGGCTATTTCCAGGCCTTCCTAGATTTATATCCTATTAATTTTCCATCTGTTTAGCCAACCTGTAACTTACACGTTGTTTCATGTATTTTTTCCCGAAACTTACAAGCAAAGTGATTGCTTGAAGTTCAAAGTTCTGATCAATCTTTCTGTTCACTGTAAAATTCAGTTATGTAAAAAGTACTTTGCCACATTTTGCCTGCGTTTTCATGCAATTCAGACTGGTGAAACCAGTGTTTCTTGTAGCTACATGCTACAGGTAAAAAATAAAAATAACTGCTGATAAGGTCTTAGAAAACACTTGTAATGTGAGCAAAAACATATTTCTTTCAGTCAATTCTTCGACAGTGGTTCCACATTAGTATATAACATTCTCAAAATATACAGTTACATATCAGAATAGTGATGACAATTGTTTCATGATAGTTTATCAATCTCAAGGTATCAACGGAGTGCTTATTGAAAAAGTTAATTAAAGCTGTGGCTATTATTATTATTATTATTATTTATCCCTTGAGTTCCTAATGGAACATACTGGTTCAATGGCACGTCTCCATTGTGGTCTGTTCTCTGAAATCTTTTGAACCTGGCCTCACGACAGTCCAGAAGCTCTCATTTCTTCCTCATACGATCTCCTCCATGTCACCCTCAACACGGACGCCCAACTCGTCGTTTTCTATGGGGGTTCCACTTGAGCACCTGGCCTGGCGCGTGATGTCCCCCATAGTATAGGATAATGAAATGATAAAATTGCTGAAATTTTAAGCAGACTGCTGCATAACTGGTAATTGTATATAATGGCTACTAACAGGAACAGATGAAAAAACGAATTATTATCTCAAGTCGTCTGCTGTTGATGGAGACTAGAGACCATGGAGACAGAGCAAGATGGCTAAAACTGTAATAATAATAATAATGACAATAAAACTTGCAGGCATTTGTGAGATGAATAGAGTGAAGTGTGATTCATTTTGAAATTAAGCTATATAGATGACCAAACACACTTTTGGTTTGTTCAAGTGGATTCTGATGACTTCTACTGTATGTTAAAGACGAATAGTTTGAATATGGATGAAATTAGAAAGAATGTGATTTTTTTCGCAAAAACATCATCAGTCTTTCTTCATAAACATTTATGTTAACTGATTAGATTTTTCATTTTAATTAAATATATTTTTTTAGATTAGGAAAACCAATGATCACTAGCATTCTATCCCATTAATCTATTTAGTGTTATTGCTTGTATTACACTGTCGTTGATTGGACCGAATTGATCAGTCTGTATTGGCATATAGGCTCCTGTGCGGATCCCTCGATATTGCCTGTCTTCTCACTATATATAGTAATGATACGCAGTGGCTACCAGTGGAATCTAGAATGCATCCACACAGAAGCCTATATGCCAACAGAGACTGATCAATTTGGTTTAATCAACGACGGTGTAATACAAACAGTAACATTAAACCTATACCAGTCGTACAAGAAGTGGCTATCGTGACTAGATGGCGTAGTGGATAACGTTCTCGCATTCGAAGCGATCACTCCCGAGTCCAAGTCCTGGTGGGAACTACATCACTTACTAGGAGGCAGGCACATCCAGCTGATGAGTCCCAAATAGAAAGAAATGCTCATCTTGGATTCCACTGCTAACCACTACGCTTCATTACTATACTATTAATATATATATATATATATATATATATTGTTGTATTAGTTTCGTATGCTACATCAGCATATACTCTTCAGTCCGTTTTATCAATACATTGGTATGTTATAATATGTTTTAAAAAACAACCAAATGAAAAATTACTTGTCTATCGTTTAATTGATCCTAAAATAAACAAGAAGTATTACAATAAATTAAAATATGTTGTAGTTTTATATTATATCATATAAAATAACATAAAAAAAGATAAAAACGACATAAATAAATAGTCAGATAGAGTAATACTTGTTGATTATCGATAAACACTGAAATCAACTTATAATAACTGAAGTGCATATAACTTCGACTTTTTAATGAATGATGTGATACAAAAAAAGAACTCAAGTGCATTATAACAATAAAAATATTATTTATTTACAATGGATTTATTAACTAATATAGTTTTAAAAAAGTAGTTAACTTGATATGCGTTGGGTATTACTTATCTATTATTCTTTTTATTGCAAATATTTGCATATCCTTCAAGTCAAAATTATGATGGTGATGAGGCATTCCTTGAAAGTGGGTTCAATTATTACAATAACCCCTACTCAGGTAACAGTCAAAAGAAAGATGATTACAATTATGATAATTATAATTATAAGGAAGACTATGAAGATAATGATTATTATACAAAAGAATATGATAAGTATAAGCCTAATAAAGGTAATTATGATACTGAAGATTCTAAATTAGAAAAACTTGTATTAGGTTATCAAGATTCAGTAAAAGAATATAAACCTCGAAAAGATGGATCAAAAGAATACAATTATTATGATTATAATGTAAAGAAAAATTATGCTGAAAAGGCAAATGATCAACAAAACAAACGAGATAATAATAATTATGGTTATGATAATGAAGATCAGAATTCATATACATATAGAGATGATGATTTATACACAGGATATTCTAAAGAAGATTATACATCTAAAGAGCCTTATTCAATGGATAAAAAACCGGATAGAATAAAACAAAAGAAGAATATTATCAACCTGAAAAATATGAGAAAAAAGAGAAATATACTGAATCATATGATGATGGTTATACTTATAAGTATAAACCGAATAAATATCCCTCTAAGAAATATGAAAATGAAGCTAAAAATTATGATTCAGACTATAGTAATAAACATGATTCTTACTATTCTTCTGATAAAAATAAAAAGCCAAAGAAAAAGAAAGTCAAGAAGCCAAAACGTGATATAAACTATTATGATACAAAAGGCAAATATGTTCAATATTCTTATGAAGATTACACTGACAACTATAAACCAAATTATTATAATGATTATTATTATTATTATCGAAGTAAATATAAATACGATACAGACAAATACAATGAAGATAATGATCAAGCTAGTGAAGAATGTACTCCAAGAAGGAAGAAGCCAAAGAAAAGAAAGCCAAAGAAAAAGAAACTACAGAGAAGAGAACAATACAATCCAGAATATAAGAATACAGAATCATACAGTGATGACTATGAACCGAGAAAAAAACTCAAAATATCAGAAAGAAAAAGAAACCTAAAAACTACTACCATCCAGATTATGATAATGATATTGATTATAAGTATACAGATAATGATGGAAATGATGAATATTTATATAATGGATATGATGAAAAAGATGAAGAAGACAATGGTGAGGAATAAAAAGCTTTTGACTAAAATCATGTTAACAAACTCAACAATACCAATAAGCCTAATAACAATTACTCCTTTTTATGAAGTAATATCTAGCGTTTTGTGAAGAAAACAGAAAAAAAAAAAATCAACATTGTTACTGATTTTTATTCTACATTAAAAAAAAATAATCATATCAAAACAGACTAGTCTACAGATGGGTGATTAAGTCATAGACAGAAATAAATAGCTTGACACATTGAGTTAAATCATACTTTATTACCATTATTATTATTTTTCCCTTGGGTTCCTATTGGAATATAGGTCTTCAGTAACAAGCCTCTATTACATTCTCTTCTATGCAGTCTTCAAAAACATGGCACCATGACAGCACACATGCTTTCATTTCTTCCTCACATCATCTCCTTTATGTCATCCACACCTCGGACGCCCAACTTCTCGTTTCCCCTTCGGATTCCACTCAATTACATGGCCTGAAGTGTGATGTCCCAGATTGACTTTCTCAATCTATTTCCACTTTCCTCTCCTGCGTATTTGTTGAGTGACAGGTTCCTGGTTGGTTCGTTGCCAGACACCCACAGTGAGTTTCTTCTTGATTATTTTTATTATTCTGCCCATCTGATCTCAAGTATCGAGTGAACGTAGGCGATAGCTGTTGATGAATGTCTGCAGTTTGTTGGAAGTGCTTTTCATGACACACCAAATTTCTCAACCATATAGCAGCACTGACGAGACTGAGGTTGGTGTTGAAAATTCTGATGTTGTTCGCGCTTTATGCTGAGTGAAGTAGATCTACACACTGATTGCAGGTTAACGAATCCCGTTCTTGCTATCTTTCAGATCCTGGCTTTGACATCTCTATCTGTCCCACTACCTGTAGTTGAAACAATGGTGGCTCGGTAGTTGTGTAGGTGGAAGAGACTACTACCTTTAGGTGTATCTCGTTAATGATGATTGGTGTTGTTGGTGATACTGTTTTTGGCTGCATTTCTTCATCAATCCCATCTTCTCTACATTCACTTGAAGTCACGTCTTCCTTCACTGCCTCGTCTCTCCTGTCTACTTGGTAGTTTACACCTGTAGATCTCCGAGTATGTGTCACAAGACATTGGACATAAATCATCAACATCATCATCATCATCATCATCATCATCGAGGACGAAACCCAAATTGTCTAGGCTGTTTTCATCGGTCCAGTCAGTGTATGCCCTTCTTCTCACTCCTCACGGATTGAGGCATAATCCAGTCCACCAGATTCAGAAGATAATTGGTGATAGTAGGCACACTTGTCTTACTGCTGTCTCCACCTCACTTCAAAGGCGTCACTGAGCTTCCCATTGTGAATCACTTGGCATGTGGCGTCTACATATAGCAGTGGAATGAGGTTGATAAAGGTATGTGACGCAAACCATAGAGTTGAAGCAATTGCTGAATTACTTCTTGGTGCTATCGACACTTTCGAAGGCGTCTTCAAAGTCGATGAAGTTGAGTTGTGGTAGAGGATTGACTGTCATTCCATTCTCTGTTCTAGGAGTTCATCTCCATAAAATGAAAAAATCAGAGACGTACTACATTGAGTATAATATAAATATACTTTATTTTGACTGAGTTCCTAATATAGCCTTTTTATGCATGACTATGTACATAAAATTCTTTATTCCAAGTGAGTCTTTCAAGTTGAGGTGAAAACATTGATAACTTTTTATTATGTTCACAGGTGTTCAGAACATGTTTCATTGTTTGTTTTTCCAACCTATGTTTAGTAAATAAGTGTAGATACTGAGAGGTTATTATACACAATCAAACTTAAGTTACTAAGAATGGAGTCAATTGAAAGGAGCTAAGTAAATCTCTTTTTTTGGTGATACTTAAGACAATATATTTTAAACTGATAATCGAATGTTGTAAAAACTTATATCCAACATCCACTTTACATGCCTTAATCGTCTTACTCATCAAAAATATCTGAGACTGTCAAACTGATATTTAAACAACCTTTGTCGAAACGAACGAACATTGTAAGTTAGCTGGCATTATCAGCAATGAAATATTGCTTAACTCTAAATTATATTAGGAAAATGTTTTGCAGTTACAATTGAGTCGAAATATCTATCTTGCACATATAATTTATATGGTCGATAAATTTCGACATTTCATATAATTCTTTTGAGAATTAAATGAGAAAATATTGATAATAAACTACACATGTAAATGAGTAGTTATAAATTTATCACACTAAACATTTTCACTGATAAGAAAGACATATACAATGTGTAAAACAGATGCTTAATTGACTCACTTGGTGTCGAACACAAAGGTGATCAAATACGATGAGATCATCTTCAAGGTTGAATCGGCAGGACCTCGAAAGTAATCTCAATATTTTCTGACTATTCCTCTGTTTTTGTTCATACGATTCTTCATATCAAATAGATTACATTTGCTTTTCCAGAGACTATATGTTAGAATCTAACAACTGTCTCACACACAGTCTCCTCATACATCTCTTCAATGATGAACTCTGAAAAAACACTTTGCATTATCAGTCCCAGATAGTGATAAAGTCGTCAACTGATTGAGTTAGTGTGTTACATCACTTCCAACAAATTCACATCGAAATTCTTCATACTAAGTCACTGATATTTCACTGTTGTCTCAGTAAAACTGCAGCCTAACTCCACTTCTACACAGCACAGTTGGCTGCTTCACAGTGTGATATTTTATTACTAACTATAGCTTATCAGGATTCATCTCTGCTTTTCGCTGATTATCTCCAGCCATTTGATATCTGTATTAGTTTGCCACGACGATGAGTCTTCCAGCTTGGCTGCCACACTTTGGAATGATTGATAGAATTCAATCACGACTAAAATCTAGACAGCATGAAGTTGGTTACCCTCCAGATACCAACCAATATACCCAATCCCATCTTACAGGAGGTCGGTCAGCCTGCATAGCTCAGTGGTAGTATCACTGACTGTGACACTGAGTGTTGTGGGGATGAATCCCAAACAGGACATCAATTTCGCTCAGGTTGTAGTTATGCTTGACTGAGGAGAGATAACAAGTGGTAGAGAGTATTCGCAACTCAGGTGAATGATCTTGGTTGTGTTGTGTTCCCTGGTTTGGGCAGCTCAATCTTGGAGACATCATCGTCTTTCTACACGACATCATCATCAACACTAACTTCAGTATGAAGTGAGTAGTCAGCATCTCTCCGTGAGTGACTTAGCAGCGTGTATTGACGGATTGATTTGTGATTGATTGTTTACTTTGAATGTTGTGTCATTGACTGTATTTCATCACTCATTTCAGTACATGTGGATACTTATGGATATGAATTCAATTTTTACACTTCACACTGAATTTAGTGCTGATGATGTCGTCTAGAAGGACGCAGAATGCTCCTCGACTGAACAACACAGCTAAGAGAAGGGAATACCACCAGGAGAGCTGTTGATGATTTCAGCTGTTACTGGAAATAAACTCAAAACAACTGATCATCTAAACTCTTCTATGGCTTACGTGACGGCTGACAAAAATACTGGAAGGTATTTATGAGAGCTGAGTGAAATAACCTAAGAAAGGTAATCTGAGAACTAACAGCTGGATAGAATATTACTTATGCTGTAGGAGAAAATAGTTGAAGAAAATTTGGTAAAAGTATTCTCGACTATAGTGATGAAAGGGTATCTAAAGTGTGGAATTCGACAATGAGGCTAGATAACGAGGCTAGGATGTGAATGGATTTATGTGTTCGGAATTGAACAATAGTAGCTGCAGCGACAATACCTGCTTTTATGGAACACACAACTCCGGTATTTGGATCCTGACTACTACTGCTTTTATGGTCTGAAGTATTCGGAGGCGGATACCTTTAGATAAGCTGATGGGAATGAAGTACAGAATGGAAAACGACTCATTCATATCTATCTTATGATTCGTTCCAATCAAGTGTGCCAATATGAAGCTATTAATGGTATTTACCACACTTTTATTTAACCATGCTTGGGAGTGTTGATGAGCATGGAAAATTAAATTCTTACAGCACCTACCGACGTAACTGGCTCCTGAAGAGAAGTCGGACTAATAAAGAAGACAGGAATTGGCCTGTCCTAGCCGGTTCAAGTCTCAGTGTCAGCGGTGAGTGTGTGGAGTACGCAATTTGTGATTTGTCATCATTAAAAGGTCTCCAAAGTGATCTGTCTAGTTTGCGAGTTAATATCTCGCTAGATATGTCACTTCTAAACTGTACCCGAGTGTACAGCGGTTTCCTGCTACCCATTGGAATTCCCTTTCAAACCATTTTTGTAATTCAATGTTTCTTCGTGAATTCATCAAGATAGTCATTTCCAATCAGTGTTAGGCAGAGTCGTCAGTTTCTCCTCAATTGTGTCTTCTGAACACATGGTATTTATTCTGTAACTTGAAGTTTTATTGAAGTCTGTTTGTTCTGAAGAATTTACCTCAATGAATATTTGTTAAGACGGATAGTGGGAAATTGAGTAATCAGAATAATCTTTGATAAAGACAATGGAGTATGGATGAATGGAATACACGACTGTGTTAATATTTGTCTATAGTTGAGAAAATACTTCTCTTCTCTGGTATTTATGACAGAGTTTCCTTCAGCATCAGTGAAAACTGAAGTCACTATAGATCAGTTAATGATGTGTATAATTTAATTCATCAAAATACTCGTTTAATAGTATGTTGAAAATTCGGAGAGTTTGGAATTTGTATCATTTCGGTATTTTAAATAGCAAATATACACCTGTTTCAGTCACTTTTGTGCCATTCAACAATGAAAGACTGTATATCGTTGCAGAATGAATCGTTTGCCTAGGTCGAGATGATGCTTTGTCTGCAGTGAAAATGATTTGCTCTGAACGTGAAAGTCATAAACTCATATTGAAATGCTTCATTATTCAAATCATCTTGAACAACAACAAGTCTTCACAGGTTACATCAATCTGAAGTATTAATTGGTACATTTGCATTCAAGGAAAGATATGAAGTTAAAAGTGTTTTCATCATATTGTTTTGAGTTTGTCGTTTTCATCTATTGGGGACTCGTCAGCTACATGTACCAGCACCCCAGTGAGTGATGTTGTTCCCACTGAGATTCGAAACTCGTGCTAAAGGAATGTTGAACACGAAACAATTCGATCTAACAAAACAACGGAGAATTACAAGTATATCAATAAAGAGTAGTAACCAATACCCGTTGTAAGGGAAGCTCCCATCGTTCCTCTGTGGCATATTGTATAACACCTTGGCGTTCAAATCGATAGGTATAAGATTCGAGTCTCAGTGGGAACGACATCGTTCACTGGGGTACATGTACATTTAGATGACGAATACTAAATAAAAGAAAGCACATCCTGGATTCGTCCGCTCATCACAATCAAACGAATTATTGAAAGAGTATATTTTAAAATAAAGATTATATCGAATTTGACTCTTACTCTTTTCCAAGTAAATCGTATCAAGTATCATCTGTATATTTATCAATAGAGAGACCATTGGATAATAGCATTATAACCGTGAATTTGATGGGACAGTAGCTGAAATGTACAAAGAATGTTCAGAGTGCGTTCACAAGCCGACCGAACAAATAAGCTGACGGAGTACCGATGGGATTGTAATAATTCTCTTTGTATGTAGATATTTTTGTGGCGAAATTTGAAAGCTAATAAATGAAACAGAGTAAACACACTCTCTCCTACCAATAAAGTTCATATGAAATATAATCACATGCATAGTATTTAGATTGCGATTGATTTGCTCCAAACAGTATGCGCAGAAAGAAATTTTGTGGATCTATGGTATTCTAAGTGAAAATAGATGTTTTGAGAAATTCATCAAAGCAGGCATAGATTAATTTTATCTTTTTGAGGTGAATTGTTGAGAATGGGTAACAAATCATCATATTTGCCTCTTTAGTTCAACTGAGTTTGTCTAAGTGACATCCTATTAAACCACCTAACTAAAACAGTAAGTAGAACATTTCAATGGGGTATTCACTGAATGCTAAGACCTTCCTGTGTTGATAAGGCAGATAAACACTCAGTCATCAATCTCTTCCTCCACCCCATGGGTTTGTTATAAGGATTTCTATTTCATCCCATCCTACAGCTATGCATGCAGTTCCACACAATCATATAATAGGATGAGATAGAGTGAAAATCTTTGATATGAAGGCGTGTTTGTAGTTCATGAGGATGATTTTGATGTTTTGTTTCCGACGTAACTGCATCAAACAATGATTCCTCGGAAACCAGCAAAACGGTTATCTTAAATCACACGAAGAACGTTTTCAAGTGGACGACTAGATTATTGAAGCCGTTCGGAATCACTGTAGCTCACAAACCTAGAAACATTTCATTACTATCTGTTATGCAGGCCAAAAACTACATTAGTAAAATAAGATAAACCAAGCGTTAGGTATAAATAAACTGCTGAAACTGAGAAAATTGCTTCATCGGACAGAGTGGTTTCTCTCTTCATATCTGTCTACATGAACATTAACTAGCAGTAAAGCCTCATGACGTATCTTCGCCTAAATTAATGCATACAGCACAATGTGAATATGAATATGATTAGAACAATATAGCAATCCTGGATAGAGAAAACAAGAATACCGTAGAATATTTAGAGTCTTGACATTCAGGTCAGTCAGGAAACCAGTCCATTAAACAAACAAAACATGAGAAGGTCAGTGTTCACAACAGCAGGACGACCAATCAGAAAAAGTGTGCAGATGATGACAAGACTTTGAAAGGAACAACCAGTCACGCACAAGGCTATCAGGACCGGCTACTAAGCTACTTGTAGAGAAAATCCTTCAGTTCACTTCTTTTCGAAGTCTATGTTGTCTAAAATGACAATGAAAGCTAGACGATTTAACCATCCAGTTGATAGAACACAAGACAATCATGAGTGAAATGCCTAAAATCCTACACAACTGGATGAAAAGATAGATGGACAAGTGAGTGACACATCTTGAAATGGTGGAGAATATTTGTGGCTCAGGTGGATGCTCTCCGTTACATTGTAGTCTCTGATCTGAGTTGTATAAAAACCTCGAAAAGACTTGAAGATGTCACCTCAAACAAATTTTTCGATTTCATACACAATTTTGCTGATCGCATTACCAACTAGGCGTAACTCATTATATCCTAAGATAACTTATCTATTCCATATTATCAACCAGCCAACTTGCCAGTCTTCCTAGACTTTCCTTCACCAAAAATTCAAATCGCCTCCTCACACACTCAGCTGAATCACAGATATATGACTGAAAATTCTCAGAGTGTCACATGATATTTATTCGGATATAGGAAATCACCGTCAGAACATCTCGAATACTGTTAAATAGCTCCAAAAAAATCATAAAAAACAATTACAAAATGAAATTTAATCGTTCTAGGTGGTACGAACCTGGCAAGAAATCGACGAAACAAATCCATACCAAGGTATTCTGCTCTACCCATCATCCCAACTCTACTCAAGATCAATTTAGTGTTCTCTTCTTGAGATTGAGCTGCTAAGTATCAAGAAAGCACAGCGTATCAACAGTTGGCATTTGCGAATTACTAATTAACGAAATCCACAACTCAAACCACATGCGAAAATCTACCAGCATAATTCGACTTCAACTGAGCGAATGTTCCCTTTAGCTCTGGAAATGTTCGCAATGTAATGTGAGAGAGACATTTCTCAAAAATAATCACACTACCATCGACTGAGATTGGACATAAATGTGGTTCCATAGGAATATCTGCTGGTTGTTTTCTTGTGAAAAATAAATAGCGTTCACCACAGATATAAATATGAACATAATACAACTTGTACAGCTGAAACCTGAACTCTGAAGGTGAGATTGTCATCAAAATTCACCTCATTCATGAACACCACTCTATTCATTCAGACTGAATGAAAATCTGATACAATAAGAGGACTTTTATAATAATCCTAAACGACAAATAACCACACATGAACTCATCCATGGTAAAGTAAGTGAAAGCTTTATTCTTCAACAAAGCAATTGCTCTTTATTATGAGCATGTGATGATGCATCTGAAGGAAGACATGGACTAGTGAAGGATTGCTCGTATAGGCGACTTGACGACTGCGTAAAATAACACCATATCTCAATTAACATCTTGTTTACCAACAGGACACTAAATATGCACATGTTCGCCCTCCACCTCAATTAACACAAGTCATTACACGACAGACAGAAACAGCATTTCTCGGTCACAGTTGTCAAGTGTCACACTCATCTAACAAACAAGTCAATACGTGACATTACTGACAGACATGTCAGTAGCGTATATATAAACCCACAGAAATGATTGCAGTAGCTGAAAATAATCCACGACAACAACTGTGCAAAGAATAATGAAGGTATGACTTTGATTTCCTATAATGTGACTGCAATTTTTCGCTCGCCTCTCAACAGAACTTCACCCTTCTACTGTTCACCACAATACTCATCGGCCTGATCTCTTCACCAGGTAAGTTGATCGTCGTGCAGCTGCGTGAGTATTTCAATGTGTGTGTGTGTTTGTATGTACGTGTGTGTGTGGGTGCGTGTCTATGAGGAGTTCCAGTAGCGAACACTTCCAAGTGTACAGTCGTCATTTTCCAATGACCAGCGTTTCCCCTACTCTCTTACAGTTGCTGAAGGCATGCTGGCCACACTGCCTGTAACATTCAGGGCGGTGCTCGGACCAGTTCTCAAACTCGGCTGCAAATTTGTGCCAGCCTTCTTGTTTCCAACTGCTGAGGAGATCGCCTCCTTCTAACATCTTCACTGGCATCATGTACTCCAGGAGCCTCTTAGATTTGACTGTCATTCAAAAAAGTAATAAATAATGATTTCTGCCTTCGTCTTCAGTCATTCCGTTGTCGAAATTGGGTACATAATATCAAATGTTTTCCGAAGCTGTCACAAATCCTGAGTGAACTAAGATTACAAAATTAAACTGAATGATGCAAGAGAGGTATTCGATGAAGCGAAGTGAGTCGTCAATCTCTGAACCATGATGCAGATTTCGATAGACGCGATTTTCAGCGAAATGATCACACTTCAATCTAACTGCGAGTAAACTGAAGCAGGGAGATATCCCTCCTGTTGCATAAATTGAAATAAGTTCATTAGATGAAAGCAATGTGAAGCAGGCATGAGCGCGATGTGAGCCGGCTATGAAACGGCGTGAGAAACTAGTAAGAAATTTAACGAAAGCACAAGTGGAAATTGAGAAAAGCGTTTTAAGTGACAAAAATATGATGATCGTCAGGTCAGAAAAGAACTGCTGTACATCGATGGTCGACATCTGATTATATTACATTAGGAATGTCAATGAATATGTACAGAATTACAAACTATTCGATGCCATTATGATAAGAGTTTACAGTGGATGCATTAGACTGGTTACGGTCATTTATAGGTGAGTACTAATGCTCTTATCCATTACCTACTTCCAATAATTCCAGTACGATGTATAGCACTTTTAATGCTCATACAACATGCTCTGTTCCTCACTATTTTGGAAGAAGAAACAAATGCCACTGATCAAAATGACAAAATGTTTGTTTAGTATTATCCTAAAATGGCTCTTCTCCTCGTTTGTTGAAATAAGCTATTTGTGTCGTAATGATACTCATAGTTTCCCGTTGATATACAGGGCTGAGTCGCTCGACCTCTGTTGACAGATGAGCTCCCATGTGGATGCCTCGATATCGCCGTATATTCATGACGTTATATTGACCTTGGTGACTAGCAGGGGAACCAAGGATGCACGTCTCATCCTCTCTGCTAATCATCAGCTGGATGTATATGCAACACTGTGAGTCATGCTGTTCCCACTGAGGCTCGAACCTAGTACCTTTCGCTTGGCCTCGATCGAGCCAAATAGCTCACCGGTGTTTACATCATTATCATTTGTGCAGCGAGATCTACAGACCAGAGTGAGTGATTTCTAACTGTTCATGACATTCAGTAGTTAGTTGTATGTCCCGCTAGTTTATGACACTTTTGTTACAGACACAGCACACTGTGATCTCGACTGGGTGGGTTCCAGCGGAAGCCCAATTGAAACCACTGTTTCACCGTTCAAAAACTCCTCAACTATGAGAAATGTCAACAAGGACCGTGCAATCTTTATATCGTGTGTAAATTCTTCATACGCTTTGTAGTTCATAATCTCGTAATATTCACTCCATGCAACCTGTAAAACGTGTGACCTTCAAGAAATACAGGAAAATGTATACATATTTCAGTAACAGTAGTACGTCTCCAGTTAGAAAGATACGCCAACGAGTCTGAAAGTCCTCTGGCCCATCACGCCTATCTCTGCGTAGCATTCTGAAGGAAGACTGTGGGGGAAGTGAGTTGACCAGAGCTGGTCAAATGATGCCGAAAAGAGCTATTTTACAACTTGCATTCTCCTCTAAAAAACGAAGAAAGATAACGCTCAGAAATGCATTTCGGAAGGTCAGGCTTCCTGTTGCCTACATAATCAGCACCACAAACCATGTGGACCAATATATACGCATGAATTTCGGCAGCACACCATCAAGATAATTACTCATATCATGAGTGATCAAAGTGTCATCCACAAATCTTATCTATACATGATACATACAGATTGGCAACTAGGTGTACCACAGTGTTTTCCAGGTCAGTCATGAAGCAATCTACTTGAAGACAGCCCAGTTGTAACCCCATTGGTGCATGGTCGTGTTGTAGATCAGACTTTGTCATTCAAACTAGACTGCACACTAAATGTGAGTCTTACACGTAATTCCTTCAGACAGTGAATCGACTGGTAGATTTTTAATTTGGTTGCAGTTATATAAGAAATGAATGGTCTGTTTTGGTTGAGCACTTGCAAATAGTGAGATGATAACCAAAGACAGCATTTATTCTCCAGATACACTGAAGTTAGTTATCGAATAAATCGTGTGTAGCATATGTGTATGTGAATGCGTCTTCTCAGTGATTGAAAAAGGGCAGTCAGTCACTTTGCTGTTGTATACCATTAGAAACCACTCATATTCGATATTTCTCAAAGAGGAACATCGTCCCCGTATACTTTTGGGAGGTCGTATAGTTGTAGGATTACAAAGTCAGATGGTTTCAATTGTTCTTACATACCACTACTAACGATCGACTTGTTTTTCATTCTTCTGAGGATTTTGACCAGTTCCAACTCACTTCGTTTAGTTGTATCTTCTGATGAAAATTATCTTTTATCTCATATTATGGCTGACAACTTCGCAGTATAATGGTATGAATGCATTAGGACGACACCATCATCTTCCGCAGGAGGTAGCGAGACATTCCTACTTTGAGATCATGTGGTTGAGATTTGTGTTCAATCAATAGGAATTTCATAGTTATATTTCCTAGTAATTTACTGATGGCGGTATTTTAAAAATTTTGTCAAAATTTGCTCCACACATTTACACATTTTGGATAGTGACTGCGTATCTTTTGAATATATGCACCAATGTAAGCCAAGAAGACGTAACACGTGGAATTATGTGCTAAATTCGTATACTTCGTGTTAAATTTACTGCTGGCCACCTAAATTCTTAGTATTTTAGCCTAAAATTCTCAGAACATATGGCCAATCTATGGTCAATTATCATGAAAACATTCATACACTTACTTCTCTTTCTTTTAGAATATATCATCAGTTTCTGTAGAAATCCTCGGCGGTGAAAACATTTAGATATTGGAAAAAGCAGTTCAGAAGACAAATGATTTCAGATAGTTTGCATCAGTATTCGTCACATATTTTATCCTCCCTAATTCTTCACTCACCTTCGACTGTCATCACATGCTGAGGTTGTCTTCAGGAGACAACCTCAGCATGTCCACCTCCACAATACTCATTAGCCAAGTAAATGTAAGTCGACCGTCTAAATTTCAACACTGCAGCATTTATGACTATAAAATGGAGCTAATGTTAATAACATTTATTCCTTCCTATATTATTTGAATCAGTCACTCCCATGATGGTGGTTTAGTGTTCTCTGAGGTTCGATATTTTGTAGTGAAGATTTCATCACTAAGACTATTGACATCTTCAGCACTAACTTCATAAACAAGTGAAGCATAATTGAATATTATTATATTAGTCCTACTGGTGAATTTACTCAGTGTAGTAATGCAATTTCTCAGATAATCTCCATCTTCATATAATATGATGCAATTTTCTATATTATATCAAATTTCGAACGAACTCGAACTTGCAAAGCAGAACATTATTATTACTATCATTATCCAGTAAAGAATCACTCACACATAAAGTGTCTGATTATGTCACAGCGTGTGCGTGGTCTGCCACAGATGTGGTGTTGTCGAACTTACAAATTGTAATTTACTCAATAAACTTGGTGAATGGCTTTAGGATGTATCGTTAATACCATTTCTAAGCGAGTGCGTTAGCACCGACTGGCGCATGATGTCCCCTAATGGCTTTATCAGTGTATGTCTAATCCACTCCATCTCCTCTTGCTTCTGCATACTTGTTGGGTAACAGGTTCCTGGTTGGTTGCCAGCCACAGTGAGTTACTTGTTGATTATTTTCACTGTTCTGCCCATCTGATCTTCAGTATCGAGTGAGCGTAGGCAGCAGCTGTTGATGATGTATGTCTACGGTTTGTTGAAAATTCTTGTTATAGCTCGCTAAGTTTCTCAACCATATAGCGGCGCTGACTTTACTAAATTAATTTTGAAAATTCTGATGTTGTTCGCGCTTTATGCTGAGTGAAGTAGATCTCCACACTGGTTTCAGGTTAACGAATCCCGTTCTTGCTATCTTTCAGATCCTGCCTTTGACATCTCTATCTGTCCCACTACCTGTAGTTGAAACAATGGTGGCTCGGTAGTTGTGTAGGTGGAAGAGACTACTACCTTTAGGTGTATCTCGTTAATGATGATTGGTGTTGTTGGTGATACTGTTTTTGGCTGCATTTCTTCATCAACCCCATCTTCTCTACATTCACTTGAAGTCCCATCTTCCTTCACAGCCTCGTCTCTCCTGTCTACTTGGTAGTTTACACCTGTAGATCTCCGAGTATGTGCCACAAGACATTGGACATAAATCATCATCACCATCATCATCATCATCATCATCGAGGACGAAACCCAAATTGTCTAGGCTGTTTTCATCGGTCCAGTCAGTGTATGCCCATCTTCTCACTCCTCACGGATTGCGGCATAATCCAGTCCACCACATTCAGAAGATGATTGGTGATAGTAGCTACACTTGTCTTACTGCTGTCTCCACC